TTTTTTTTTGTTGCATTTCTTGAGCTTTGATGAAATTTGTTAAATAAACTGTTTTCTGACTAATTATGAACAGATTGGCTCAAAAAGAATGTGTTGAACAAGTCACGTTTCTATATTTCAAAAGTTGCTTTTCAATACCGGTATCGTCGGTATTGAAAATCGATACTGGTATTGATATCGATCTCGGTACTGAGAAAATGGACGATATTTTGCAAACACTACTTATGAGGTCACCAGGCTGTTTTAACGGTATCTCCAAACTGATCAGTTAACAATATAGAAACATCAAAATATAATTATAATTGTTGGAAGCTATGCGCATTTTGAATGCAACTAAATACAAAATGCAAAGTTACCTTCCTTCACCTATCACGACCCCAAGATGCGCAAAACTGATGTGGTTGGTGATTTGGAGGAATGCATAGAAGTAATAATTAAATGTCGGTAACGATGACAATATTAGTAGTGGCGGGGTGATGTGATAGAAACAGATATGAAGTGAATGGAATAAAATAAAATAAAATGTTGACAATGATAATGATATTAGACGTAATGAGGCAATGAAGCTTAAAATCACTTTGTATCAGTGATTTATTATAATTTCAAGAAGTCCACTGGTTCACCGCCTTCTGTTGTTCTAAGCGTTCATTGAATGTTTGATTCCTTGATAAATTCGAGTACATCTTTCTAAGCCACCTTTGAATCCCTTGCTAAAAGTTGTTTGGCATAATGGGAGAGTATTCCCAAAATCTGGAACTTCAAGTACTATGTTAACGCCAACACAACTTTGTCAAACACGTCTTATCTTCCTTCTCAACTATTTTGACTTCTAATCGCTTGCGATACTTCGTCCATAACCCCCGCTCCAACTTTCAGCGGTTTATACACCTCATATTTCTCAGCATCAATTGAATTCGCGCTACTACTACAAATAAATTATTCATCAAAATACGCACTGATAATTTAGCAGCAGCTTTCCTATTTCATTCCAAACAAACCGTATAACATTACTGAACTCGGACTGGTCATATTACCAGGTGTTATAATTTGATTTATTATAATGCCGACTAAAAATCTTTTTCCTTTGCAATTTATAATGCCGCTGTTAATGTATCTCTAAGAAGCCAACAAACATTGTTAATCAATTGAATTTATTCGAAAGTCTGTCAGATATACAATGACAAAAGGTGCAATGAATGTTCAACTTGAATTTGATTCAAACAAGTCAATACATCTAAGGAATACGCAGTAAAATAAATGATGCATTATAAGCAAATCATTACAACAAATCAGTGATTTATCATCACAAACCACTGACAATTAATAATGCGAATTAAGATCACAAAAATATTCATTTATGCTGGTCAATCAAAGGACTAACTGAATTCGACAAAGAACGAAGTGATGCAATTCGAAGAAAAAATAATGACAGAATGTTCATGAATGCGACACACAAATCTGCAGGATGTTTTTAAGGGCTCTTGAAAACCGAACACTTCCGAGTGACGGATGAAGGCACCCATTATTTGAGAACAAATGATCGGAATAGGTTTAAGCGTTTCACTGGTACATTACTCAACTATAGAGATGACCTTTACCTGCCCAACATTTGCATCTCATCCAAGATTTCATATTCGTTTGATAATGAGTTCATCAGGCAAGAAAAGCACAGTTATAGAAACTTTGCCCTTTGATAAACTGAAGGTAGACGGATCAAATGGAAGTGGAACATGTCAATGGTACGCTCCCTGAATGAAAAAAAATTGAAAATGAATACAGCATAAAAATCTAGACAAAACTTCTGCAAAAATCTACAAATTAATTGATTAGTGACAGCTTGACAAAGACGAGATCACAAAAACCACTGAAACAATTGACTGTAACGTTCACAATTCAATTTAAAAATAATTATGAGATTACCAAAAGATACGAATGATGGTGCTGGAGCAAAAATTACTCACATGAAGCGATCATAGTTGTAATCAAATTGCTAAGTTCATACAGATTTGATTTATATAGTTTTGGGTGCTTCAGATGTTTTTTCCTGAACAAAAAGTAAACTGGACGAGATTGATAACGATTTAGGTTAATGTCAAACATCAGCACACTACTAAATTCAATGAGAAAGCAGAGCTGATCCAGAATGAAAAAGCAAAACTCTTTTGCAACGAACATTGGAAATGAAAATAAACTGCACTTGGCCGAATTGATGATTGTTAAGGTTATATGAAGGGAGAAACGTGACCCGAATAAGCCTATATAATAAGCGAATGAAATAACAATGATGGTTGAGTGCGTAATTTAACGACTACTTCGATGTGATGAGTAATCAGATCGACTGGAAAAATTGGTTGCATATTCATATTGATCACGATATCGTGTGCGCTCTTCTCTCAAGCTCACAAATCGTTCGTTGTTAAAGCGAATACGTTTTGTATTGGACTGACGACGTTCATATGATCGTTTTCTATTGAAATCACGTTGATAATCATAGTCACTCTTATTTGTTCTAATATCTGAATTACTATTTTGGCTTTGATAAAATTGCTGATCATCACTTGCCGACCGTGACAATGATAACGGTGTATTTGCATTTGCCATTTTCAAAATTATTTTTTTTGACCTTTTTGGATTAGGTTCAGAAATGGGGTTTGATGACGAGGCATTGTGAGGATTAGCTGAAGTTGGTGTAGGATAAAAGGAAGACTGGGTGGGGATCAAAGAGGGATTGGAGTGAGTAGACGGATGATGAGTGAAACTGGGTGAGAAATGGATCGACTGCGGTGCTGGATTAGGTGAGGGCATCTGATAGATATTAGTTGTTGTTGCATCAATGTGAACTGGAGTCGTTGTTGTTGTAGTTGTAGCTAGAGGCCGATTGTAGATTGACGGTGATGGAGAGATGTGAAGGAATGACTGTGGTGCTATGAGTGCAGGATTGTTGCTTTGCGTTTGGGTTTGGCTTTGAGAATTTACATGTATCACACTGCTGGTTGGCGTTGATAATGACAAGGACACTGAATTTGATGCTTGTTCAATTGAAATCAGTGAGGCTGAAGCAGATGGATAAGGCATATTTTGACACGAAGATGATGATGAGGCAATATTCGGTGGTGGACCAAGAAGCCAAGGTGGTGGAAACGTTCGACTAGCATAAATTGTTTGCTGTTGTTGTTCTGCTGATGGCATCGGTTGATTTGAGGAGGCAGTAGACATTCCTCCTCCGACTGTAGGTGTCGTGATCGTGTTAGCAAAACTTTGACCGACTGTCGATGAAGGTGGGATGTGCGGAAGAGGTTGAGCTTCAGTTTGAGGCTGGCTTGCCAAACCGGAGGGAATGATTGGTGACGCGATCGATACTAGCTGTTGTGATGAGATCTGACCGGTGTTTGAAACATGACTGCTACGTGATGCTGTCATCACTAATGACTGCTCTTCTGAACAGGCTTCATGAATATTCGAACCTGCTCTAGCTGCAATCAAAACTGTTGGATCCATTCGACTGCTTCTGTCTGTGGCTGTTACTGGTGTTTCTGGCTGTGATTTCTGCTGTTGGCCTAAAGCTGTACCCATTGAATTACTGTTCCTGTTGTTGTCGTTTTTATCATCATTATTAGTATTCGATATCGATAACTGATAAGATGAACTCCTCCGTGAAGGAACCACCTGATTATCGTTTAGACTGAGAGAAACTTGTTGTTCTTCTTCTATCATTCTACTGTCCATCGGATATGATCCACCAGTCTAAATTTTAAAAAACAATATATGATGGAACGCATTGATCATCTTGAATTGTACATTCTAATAGCAAAAAATTGGTGATTACTGGAAGTTACATCTAAGTAGCAAATTATAAGATGAACTGATTGCGAAAAAGCGAATGAAGATTTTTTGGAATGACAGCAAATAGAACAGAAATGAATGAGTTAATAACTAACCACCCCTTGCATTACTCTCAAAACATCTTCTGAGGAGCCAGCAAACGATTGATTAGTTCGTACATGAAGTGAATCTTAAAATTACGATTTCATTTCATCCTTTTAAGGGGTGGCTGAATGAGTTCCGCTGAAGGAGGAAGAGGCGTTAAAATTAGTTTGATGTATACTAAAAAACGTCATATGAAGAGATGCTGATCGAACTGATCAGTCAGCATAAATTTGTCGTAATGAATACTAAAAATGATAGCTATACCCGAACACCATGCAGAGACACCTACCTGTGATAATGTGCTGATCATTCTTCATCATATCCATTGTTTCCGTGATACTGTCTTTCGGCTTTCGCATTTCTTAAACCCAAAACGAAGATGAGAACATCAAAAAGTTACATTATCACGAATCTCGTTTTGAGACTATTCTCTGTGAGTAAAATTACTTTCAGGATACTTAAGGATTATATGATAAAACTTTAATTTGTTTCTCGAACCATTATCTTGATTCGAGAGGCTGGTTATAAGTGCTTGAAAACAAACGTGAATTTAAAGGTGAAGACAACAACTAACGATTAAAAGCTTGTTCCACACCAGCGACAAATGGGTCATCATTTGCTGTAGGTGAGGGTGCATCTCGAGGTGGCGATGCACCTGGATAAACACCACTTTTCAGCATTTCATCTACTTCGGACCTTACCAATGAAATGCCAATTCCAAATTTACGGTATGCCTGAAAATACACCACGTCGTTGTTTAATCTGCACACGCTTCGATAATTCATTCGCATTCCAGAATACGCTGCAAAATTCGAAATCAACAATAATAACCAGTGACGTTACTACTGTTATGTTTATGAATGTAAATAAAATACTCACATCCTCAACCACGGTGACATCACGCAACTGAAGAGCGTAAAACTTTTTAGCTTCATCAAGCAGTTCAGCCAAACGTTCTCCTTTAGTTTTGTGTTTCGTAAGTGCTTCAAGGAAATCATTCAGTTTCTTATACGATTGATCTATTTCTAAAAGAACTTTCTCGCCATCACGTCTATCTGCAAGCACAAATTTTATAATCGTTCAATTGTTATATTCTACAACTAATTGCTATCAGCATACCAAACATGCTTTAACATTAGTTACAACTAATTCAACAAGCGATGTTTCATCATTCCTCTGAAGTCCACTGAACACATCAAACTTCATAATATATTGCGTTCGAATGTAAATGCGAATGATCATTCAATACGATAGCTACATATAATAATGAACCTTTAACTCGATTCTTCATTTTATCTTTGAAGCTAAAATCACTCCTGGCGAGTACTTCACGAGCACGTTCCATAACCATATCTCCCTTCTGATAAGACTCTAATTCACGGATTAATGAAGCGCTATCGAATTCAAGCAAAGCGTTTTCATCAGTCTCATTTCCATCATCTGCTTTAAAATCAAAAACAACAATAAGTAATGACAATGGAGAACCATAACTTCATCAGAGTGAATGCACGGTAAATAACTAATTGTAAGCAAACTTCGTGAACATAGGATCTAAATAGAAACTAGTGTTGAAATTAAATGAAAACGGAATATGCAATGTGGAATTTGCAAACAACAAAAGTTGTCGACATAAAACGACTCAGTAAAATGAATCAACATCCCCTTCGGTTTACACATAAATGGACTGTTTCATGATAGAAGCACATGCATTAAAATGTAACACACATGAATGAAACAAAAACGAACTCAATGATCCGCGCATGTCGGCAAGTTGAGATTTCGAGTAGATTTGACGTTGATCAAAAATGTCAAGAATTCTTGTAACAGCTTTCCGAACCATTTCACTATTCCTACACAATCACAGGTTAACATCCTATCATGAACAATTAATTCCATGATTTTTCATCATCATCTGATTATACCTAATGATAAGAGGCAAAATGGGAATGGAAAAACACAGAATGGCAAAAGTGATATGTGTAAGTCAGATATTCAAATAAAACAAAAATGATCCATTATTGAATGAACCTTGAATGATTTATAGCACTGATCCACTGCGGAGCAAATGCAACCAACAGTGCATGAGAGTCACCTTTCTTCTTCGCTTTCTGACACACGTCGTTTGCTACATAGAACAACGCTACTTGAAGGGTTTCATCAGCTTGAAACAAAAATAATGATAATATCAATATTCATAACAGTAAAATGTTAACTGATAACTATTAGTCCTCTGTCATTGAAAATATATTTAATATCAACTTTGCAGGACTCGTTAATTGATAACTTTCATTTATCATGTTTTGTTTGTTTACATTTACTGCGATGAATTTTTTGAAACACTTCACCATAAACAATACTACGACCAAATTATTTTTGTCTTACAATTATGAACAGACCTGTCTTAAAAAGATTTAGCCAGCAGTTGACAATTTCAGCAACTGAATCCTTATGATGAAGAATCCACATTGAAGTTGTTTGAATGGATTCAGACGAATGATCAACTGCACGTAGACGTCGGCATATTATATCCTCCGATAGTACCATATCTTAAAAACTCATTATTACAGGAACGAAAGATAAATACGTTACGTCTATGGCGTTAAGAAGTTGTAATTATTGAATTAAGCATGCGTGACTACTTCAAGTCTACTAAACATTTATTCTCGTAATCATCAGAATGCTATCAATATCGAATTCGTACATCATTCACACTTGAACGGCTGGCATTTATGCTCTGGAAGGGTTTGTAAAACCCTGTCAGATATGATAAATAAACGGGCTTAACAATAAACTGAATGAAGTAAAAAGCAAGATGTGATACTTTTGTTCTTGACTAAAAACGTATTTGCCAAGTTTCGTAAGGTATTCTACGAAGCGAAACTTGGCACAAACTGCAGGAGGTTGATGTGGGCTGGACTTTTGTTTACTCGTTAGTTCACACGGAAAAATGTTGGCGGAAACAGTCGCTTTAAGCGAAACTTCGGCGTTTGCACCACGGCCGGGTCCGCCCTGTACCTGTGCTGAGGCTGACTTTTAAGCTAAGGCTCGTATCAGCTTTAGGCTAAGGTCTGGCCTGTGGCATGCACTCTCGTCAATTCGGAGATGTATGGCTTTTCCGGCATCCCTTCAGCTTTGTTGATGTGTGTGGGGTTGCGTATCAGTTCTTCGAAAAATCGATAATTTGAAGACACACGTTCGTTCGTAGTGCGCAACGTGATAGCGGCGACACTGTGGACGTTCCTATAATCTTATGCTCACAGTCCAGCCAAGCAGCTCACACACACATCGGGGTGGTGTTACCTTTGGTATCTCAGCGCAACGCAATGCCACCTAAGCGTGGACCTAAACTCAAGCTTAAGTTTGAGGCTAAGCCTAATCTTAAGCTTAAATCCGATCCTAACTCTAAGCTTAAGCTTAAACCTACACTTATGTTTACTTATGCGAGACCCGCAGTGTTAACGGTTCCTTGTGGTGTATGGAGACATGTCACGTTGCGTTGCGATGTTGATTCTATCCCGATCCCTAAGCAACCTTATGGAATAGGCAGGTTTCAGGGAGGCTGCTTGATAGAAGCGATGAAAATACTCATTCGAGTCAAGGATAAATTGCAAGCAGGGATAATCAGAGTGAAATACTGCGATGGATTACGCTTGGTCTCATGATTAGGCTGATGCCGGTGAGCCACCCAATTATTCAATACATTACTGCGGTATGATAAAATTATCAATTTGTAAGGTCAGTAAAATCAAAACAGCATTTCGTTCGTTTATATTCGCAGTTGAGTGTGGTTTAGTTAGGACACAATAAGAAATGTTCGCAGCGGTGTTTCCACAGGCTTAAAATGTTCCAAAAAGGATTCCTAGGTTTTCACACCTAATTGCACGTTCACAGCACTGCAGAGGAATCAGTAGCATACAGGGCAACAGTGATTGTAGAATAGGTCGGTAAAATCATTTAACGGGGTTGGAGGCTTGATAATGGGTTAAAATCAATTGAATGTGTTAGTAGTATTGTGCAGTGTATCAGTGATTGTAGAATAGGTCGGTAAAAACATTTAACAGGGTCGGACGCTTGATAATAGGTTCAATGACGTCACATTCCTGTACCGTCCTCATCAAGACCCTGCTATA